ACTGATGAAAATAATTCAGAGATAGTTTCTTATTCCTGTTGCTCAGATATTGTCTCCACAAGTGCATTAAAAGTGTTGCCACTTTGTTTTACTGGGAAAAACGCAAAGCAAAGTAGCTAGGCATGCAGATGCCTAGAAAAGAAAGAGCCCAGAGCCGCTTCCAGTGCAGCTGGATGACTCAGAAAGAGGTGCTTTGTACCCTCTTCTGTGCATTATGAAGCACCTTTTTCAAAGGGCTGGCAGAGCCCTGGGGCTCTGTTTCAGATGTCTTTCCTCTTAGTGCTTACTCAGCCCTTAAAGTGCAGTGCTGACTTCTAAAAAATCAAAACAGTGGTCTAGGCTTTCTGCCTGACCTTATCCCTGTCTCTTCTTTTATTTGATGTTTCTGTCTGAAGTATCCCCTTTACCACAAAACAAAGCTGCAGTGCCAACACACAGATCTAATTAACCAAAACCAACATGTAATTTTGTTATTATATTCTCTTGTTTCTTTTTATTCCTTTCTGTTTCACAACTCACGGAAAGTTTTCCTGAAAAAATATTTGTCGTTACTTTTTCAGCCTATTGCCTAACATAATTCAGGCAGTTCATAAATAATAAAAACACTGTTAATGAAACTTAACCTAGAGGTGTTTTTTTTAATCTTTTGCACATTATGTTTGTGTTTTTAATATGCCTATTTGGGGGTTAGTTAAAATTTAGTATGTAATCATAAGCAGATATGGTTTCCACATTCATAGTGTTATATTCAAGACCAAGTTATAATTCTTATTTAGGCAGATAATAAAATATTTTATATAAAATTGAGATGGTATTCATAAAATGCTAAGTATTTTGAATATTTCTGTATTTCTAGAACTAATGTACATTTTAGCTTTTCTGAGTGCCAAGTAATTGCTGTAGTAGAAATAACACTGTATTAATACACTGCATCTTAAATTGAAATGAAATGGGCCAAGGGGAATATAAAGAAAATAATTGATATTTAGAAACTAGAGATGCTCAGCTCCCGCAGTTTAATTTGCTGAAAGCATTTGCACAATTATAGCCTTAAAATCTGTAAGACATTATAGCTATATGCTGTCTGCTCTTTAGCTTCTAGATTGGAAAACTAGACACATCACTTATTCTTTCTTAAATTCTATTTTTTTAATATTAGATGTAGGATGTTAAGTATATCCATGCTATAAACTGTACAAAAATAGAAGGACTTGGTGAAAGTATGCCTCATTTCAAATTCAGCATAGATTTCTCTGAAGTAGAGAGCTAGAACTGAGTGCACTTTAGTTTTAAAAATCTTGTCACTTGAAGGCATTGGGAATTTGCTGGACTAATTCTGCTAGGTTTGCCTGTAGCATTCACAATAATTGTTGGTATATACTTATAGATATAGCCATAAATATTGAGATATATACCACACATAACACACCCCAGACTTGTGGGTCAACAAAGTTTATAACACTTTTTCTGAGTTGAGATGAAGCTTGTGAAATACTTAATGTCTGAAGAAGCTTTAACAACTAAATACATAATGTGTTAGTCATCCATTGTTTCTATTTTTACAGGTCCTGAATGATGAGTGATGGTTTCTGTGATGCCACTTGGAGCTTTTTTCACTGTGGAATGGACTGATAACACAGCCTGGAGACTTGACAGCAGACTAAAGAAAGCTCTGGGACAGTGACCCTTGCTTTTTTTTTTTTTTTTTTCCCTTTCCATTGGACAAAAGTACTCCAAAGGAAAGAACTCTTTTTAGTGCCATCTCCGAATTTTTCCCAATTTCTGCCACTTCAAATGAGGACAGGATAGAATTGGCACATCTTTCTGATTTAAAGCGTATCACCTTCCGAGACAGATGGTCTGTCAAATGCTGTAGGATGCCTGCAGAGAACATCATAATGAAGAAGAAAATTGATAGTTGTGCCACTGCCTAATTGTCAGGATCACAGCCGATAAAGCTGCACTGCCCTTTCCCTGCTGCCTTAATCGGGTCATGAACAGCAGGGTGGACATGGCCGGCCTTGTTAACCACTTGCTAATATTGTTCCTTATTTTTCAAAACAGCTGTTTGGCTTTCAGAAGCCCTCTTTCTGTCTTTAAGAGGTGGGTTATTTAGACATGTTTTGTGTTATTTATCAGTATTTACTTCAGAGTCAATTTGATAAATGTGTTATGTGTTTAAAACAGCAGTTTCTAATGGTAAAGGAAACTCATTTGGAAAAATTTAGTTGCTTAGGCTCACTGAATGCTTATACTAGTCATTGAAATGTCCATTGCCTTTCCTTGGAATATTATTATAATTAGTAGTAGTTGAACTATAGTTCAGTAATTTTTTATAAAATCCCTTTGTGACTCTTCTTCCTGTTGGGTTTGAATAGCTTTTTTTAAAGTTTCAGTTCACCTATATCTTGTTTGCTTAATCTTTTGGAACATACCTGGTTGCATTTCTGGATAAATTCTTAAAGGAAAGTTAGCTTTTTTCCTCCCTTGCAAGACATTATGGTTATATGTGCAATATATGTATGTGTGTATGTGTTTTGCATCACATCAAGGTTCTGTTATTATTGATTTGAAAACAGCACACATATTTTCCATGTAGTTGTCTCTAGTTTATTCCATACAAAAAAATTATGCATTAAAACTATTAGGCAAAAACTAGAAATTCAAGGGATTAAAACAGTAGTTTACTATTTTATTTGGGGAAACTAAATACAAGACATTTTTCTTAGGCTTTTTAAACTTTACACTAGATACAAACATACCTACATAAATACTTGTATTGGTATGGCAATGTATTCTGCATCAATGTATTCTGCATAAATATAGCAACTTAAAATGTAGTTATCGGCATATTTATAATGTTAACTTGATTAGCTAACAGATCAGAATTTAAATCTCTCATCAGTACAGCTTTCCTTTCAAGTTATACCTTTCTCCTTTTCATCAGCACCTGGCAATCTTATTATATGTTAGCTATTATGTGCCTGTAATCCGTTTCCTTGTAAAGGGGATTCCTGGATGATTTTGAAGTTTGAAAACAATAATGGAAATTAATAGAATACCTACATAGATCTTACAAGCTGATAAAATACATTTAAATTGCAAAAGTCATTATAATATTCAAATTTCTTATTACTTTTTAGGTATAAGGATGCTACTAGGTCTCATTCCAGTGAATGTCTTGGCAGCAACAGGCAGCTGGTTCCACTAGGTTTATCAGAATTTGCACTGGATATTCGTATGCCTGGAGTGACTCCTAAACAGGTGAAAACATTTGGACAACACTAACTTGTACCTTACTTATTTTATAGAAAATAAAATCATTAAGGGTTGAGTTGCATGATTTGGTACATCTGTTTTGCAATGACTTCAAAACAGATTTTTCAGGAAACTAATTATTGCCATAGTTGCTGTTACTGCTTTCCAGATTGTTTTCTAGGGTCACTCAAAATAGAGAAATGACAATATTGATTAAAAGAACAGGTTTGTTTTTTGTGGATACTGAGCAATACTACATTTACGTTTTGCAACATTGTAGAACAAACAGAGAATGTTTTATAGCTCTAGCCAAGGTAAATTTTTCTCCAGGCAATTGTTATAGTGTGTCTCCCATCAACTGTGTAATCTGAGTATGCCCGTATAACCAACCATCACATATCAATAATGGTCTTGGGCCTAGAGATGCAAAAATGTGGTTATACTTCTTTAAAAGGGGATATTAATACTGAATATCATTGAAACTAAAAAAAAAAACCTCCACAAATATTGTTATAGCATGGAAAAGTTAATCAGAAAAATAGAGGTGCTGATAGGATAATTATAAGGGGCAAGGAGGGTGCCAAAAATAGTACTAGAGGCTGGCTATGATGGAACAGTCTTGGGAGTGTAGAGACACTGAATTGGTAGAGAAAAGTGACAGTGAAGAGTAAATAAATAAGGATTTTAAACAAGAAAATACAGTGCAAAGGAATTTAGTGTAAAGGAAGGAATTTGGAGCTGATTTGGGGGAAGCTATAAAAAAACCATTAAGGAGGAACTTGGACAAGAGATTACCCAGACCAGAGACAGAAGGAAGCATCAAAGAACCTCAAAAGATAAGCCCACCTTGATTTCGCTTAGTATAAGATGGGACAGAAAAAAACTTAGAATTTCAATATTCTCTTATATTCTACACAATAAAATAGGAATCCTGGAATCCCTGTTCTTGACCTGGCCCCTCTCAGAGAGCCAGCAATGAGACAGAATTAAGTGTGAATATATAAGCTATTTTAGGGAAGTAGTTGGAGCACAAAGATGACGTGCAATGTTGTAGGTCTCACTGGCAAGTTCAGAAGTTGTCTTCTGTGATAAGCATCCATGTTTAGGATAGGCCTCTTAAATTTTTATGTGTTCTAATAGTATTTCCTGAAATATGTAAGATTTTTGTATCTGTGTGATGCAACAGTTATAATATAAATATGGAGAAAGAAACTGTAGGGCACAAAAAAGGTATGTGATGACTCTTAGTAAAATATTAGCTCAATCCAGGAAATCAAAAAAGCATGAGAAAGAAACTAAAGATTGTCCTGCCTTGATTTTCTTTGGTATAAGGGGGAGGGAGAGAAATGCTGCAGGGCTTCAAGATTCTTTAATATACCCTATATCAATAAAATGTTAGTATTGTAGGGTTAGTTTCCTGATCTGGCCTATCCCAAGGGACCAATATCAGTCTTGAAAGCCTGACGGCATTTCTCTTTCCCTCCTTCTTATACCAAATAAAATCAAGGCAGAGCAATCTTTAGTTTCTTTCTCATGCTTTGTTTTCCCAGGCTGAGCTGATATTGTACTAACAGGTACCACATACCTTCTCCAGCATCATCTCTGTACAGAAACAGAGAGTAGGAAGTTAAGGAGACAGAGCTAGTTTCAGGTGGAAGGCTAAGGCACTCCAATACCAACTCTTCTTTTGGGGGAGGTGGGGTAAAAAAAAATACTTAAAAACCATACAGTTAGTCCTTGACTTATGACCACAATTGCGATCAGAACTTCCATTGCTAAGCAATGTGGTTGTTAAGTGATGTGGTTGTTAAGTGAGAGGGAGGGAGAGAAATGCTGCAGGGCTTCAAGATTCTTTAATATACCCTATATCAGTAAAATGTTAGTATTGTAGGGTTAGTTTCCTGATCTGGCCTATCCCAAGGGACCAATATCAGTCATGAAAGCCTGACGGCATTTCTCTTTCCCTCCTTCTTATACCAATTTTACAACAGTTTTTGCCATGGTTAAGCAAATCACACAGTCGTTAAGTAAATTGACTTTGCTTGTTGGAAACCCCCTGCAAAGGTCACAAATGATGAATACGTGACCCCGTGACACTGCAACTGTTGTAAATACATGCTGATTGCCAAGTGCCCGAATTTTGATCAAATGACCACGGGATGCTACAACAGTCATAAGTGCGAGGACCAGTAATAAGTCACTTTTTTCAGCACTGTCGTAACTTTGAATGGCTGTTAAACAATGGTCGTAAGGGACTACTTGTATGTGAGGAGTTAAGTGTACTTATTTTCAAAATGGAGAAAATTCACCCAACATTGAACTCTATAGCTTTTAGTGCCTAGAGTTCAGTGAGCAGAATAGAAGCTCTGTGTTGCAGCAGGTAGAATTTTTCTTACCAGTTGATTTAATTGATTCAGGATCTAATTTGGGAGTTATATTTAGAATAATCCTTCTTTAAATATTTACTTCACAACATGCAAATGAACTTCTAAGAATACATAGAGTCAGCTTAGTTCTCTCTGTAACACACCTTGTTCTGTCAGTTCCAGTTAAGTTGTAAATCAGCAGGGGTATACAAGACCTCTCTTACCTAAGCTAGGCCAAAGTCTTCTATGGTAGCCTTTTGAAGACAGAACTAAAATTCTAGAGTTAAGGTATACAAAGCAGATCTTAAAATTAGCAAGCAAGAAGCTCATCACCAACCCACTTTGAACAATACGGATTTCATAAACAAACTAGTACTGTGATTTATTTCAATTTGCTATTTTTTGTGGAATAGTCTACAGTAAAATGAACTTGTGCTAATGGATATATTTCACAAAGCAGTGCATTTATGTAGAGAGTAAGGAGGATGACCTTGACAGAGGTATGTAGGGTCTGTTGCCTAGCAAAAGGACTGGAACATTTTTTGAAGCTTAGGATGAGGTTATATTCAGAAACAGCTCAGATAGACAGACACTTCCCTAATTCACTAAACTATAAGAAAGAGGAGGAGGTGTAACATAAACAGACCTGCAAGATTCTACTATGATAGCCAATCTCAATAAAAGTAGCCTTCCTGTGGACTTCATTTCCTGGTCTGGTCTACTAATGGGCTGACAATTTGCTACTAGATTTTATGGCTGTGTTCCAAAGGTTTTTGCAAGCAATAACATAGAAGGAGCTTTTCTGTCTCCTTATGTGATGGAATGGAATTCTGAAGGCCAGGCTCAGGGAGATAAGCATTTTCTTAGCTTGCCGCAGGAGCGTGGGAACTAC